GTATACATGCTTTCACCCATTAGTGCGGTTTCTCCTTATCTGTCTCCTCCGCCTCTTCTTTTCTTTTTTCCACTAAAAGACCAAGGGCTGACAACGCCAGCGCCATTTTGAACTTTCTATCAGACATCATTCTCCATTAGTAGACTACCTATAATACGTGTGAAAATGGTCTTCTCGTATCATAACAACGGACTACCACATGAAACATGAGCAGGACGTAGGTGATGGTTGGCCGTCGGCTGTAGTCTTTGGCGGTGTGTTCAAGTGCAACTTTTTGGCCAAGACAAAAGGTGACGTAAACTGCACGGTCTCATCCTCATGCCCTCAAATGTACTGCTAAGAAATCAGAGTTCAGGTTTGCCTTGTACTGTATTTTGTGTCAGATAATGTGTCTTTATCGACTTTGTTTTTTTTCTCTTTTTTCAGATAATTTTAGACAGAGTTGGTTTCAGATTCAACAGGTCCTGGAGTCTTCAGAAAGTCTTAGTTCGCAGACATCACCAAAAGGGGAAGTGTCAGAGTTAAACCCAAGCTTGAGCAGCCGGCACAGCACAGTTCAGAACCCAGATGTGTTGAATTAAATCCTCCTGCTGCATCCCAGAATGCCTCTGAGACCGGGCCGGCTCATAAATCACCATGATATACACCCCAGAACACACACACACACACACACACACACACACACACACACACACACACACACACACACACACACACACACGCACACAAAGCTAGCCTCTTTTCTGCTGCTCGCTGCTACCTCTTTCTTAGCAGACTACTTGTGTGTGCTTTTCTCAGCATGACTCAGCAAGACTCTGCGAAACAGAAAACATCCAAAGGCATTCTTTAAATGTTGTGAAGATGGAGGGGGAAAAGTGGTGGTGAGAAAAAAGAAAGTCTGGATGAAGGAGAAGAGAACAGGGGTGTAATTTCCATGCAAATGTGCCATGTGGTACAGATCTAACATTGACGTTTCTCATGTTTCCCAGCTGCACGTTTCTTATGCAACTTTACGGGAAACAATCTTTTTTTGTTTGTCTTTCTTCCTGCAGCTACATGTGGTCGAACACATAAGGATTTTATACATGATATGCATGAGTCCCTGCAATGTTCTTTTTATTTTTTACTTTTACGACACGTACCTTCAAACACTGTTATAGACAGGAAAGGAAATAAAAATCATTCTCAAAGACTGGAAGCTTCAGAGACTTTTTGCATGAACTGATTTTGGTTATCTGTGTGAAGAAATTACAGAAGTACAACTTTAAATGTGAAGCCTCCTGGGGTTACTTTCTGCAGAATTTGGACTCATTTTGACGTCAGTTTCTTTTTTCCTCTCATCTCTCTCAGTCTGTCTTTTCAGTGCGATCGCTGCGACCCTCCTCCTCCACCCCAGTCACCTCCAGTCCAGCTCAGCAGAGTTCAGATCCAGCCTCAGAAAATCCACTCCTCATCACATACTGACTTCTTCTATCACCACCACCACCAGGGTCTAGACTCCATCAGAGGGGTATCACCACCACCACCAGGGTCTAGACTTCATAGGGGGTATCCTATCTTGCTGTCGGCCTCATTAGCCCTATGTGCAGGAAGTCGTCATGATGGAGACTTTTCACATTTATCTTTTCCTAAATTGTTAAATTAATAAATTCTTACTTCAGTCTCTCCTGATTGAAATATTTATAGCAGAGTAATGACAACGAGCCTTTTGGAAAGTATCAGAAAAAAATATGAAACCATTCTTTAGCTTTAGACATTTTTATTTTAAATGTGTTTTATGAAAGAACAAAAGTGAAAATATAACATTTTTAAGAAACTCTCGCCTTCCTCAAAGTTTACACAGCACACGACACACTCATCACTCGTCTCGTTTTTTACATTATTGTAACTATAGCACCTGAAAAACTGACTGATGTTGCAGAAACGCACTAATGAATTCAGATTAAAGACTGACGAAAAGCTTCTCATTAGCATATCAACACGTTGTGTAAAAACAATTGACAAGAAGAAAGTTACCACATTTTTCACCATATATATTCAAATGATCACGTTATGTACACTTTCTTTACAAATAACAAATCTCTCACAATCAAAGGAAATCACTACAAGAATATTTCACGTCTCCTCTCAATATGCATATTTACAGTATTTACATACATTCATTGGCTCGTGTGCGACACTCATTCAGACAAAGTCTCTGTGCTGACTGTATGGCAGGAACACGTGTCCTCCATACGGCGTCTCATTCAGGTGCTGCCACAAACACTGTCAGGGTCTGTCAATCATTGTACGTTTCAGCAAATCAAACATTTACAAAAAACAACTTGATTCCAGTTCAAACATCAACATCCCTTTCTTCAAACCATTTCAGGACTGAGTGTTGTCAGCTGAGCCTTGGCTTTTTTTTTTTTTTGGCAACAGAAACCATCTTTGGATTCGGTGCAGTTTGCATTTGGTGCGACCTATTTGGCTTAACTCAACTAAATTCAGAATGATGCACACTTAAAGCCGTTTACACTGATGCTATGCTATGCTGTGAAAGCGTTGATATGTTCCAGGACCAGCGACCCGCCATGTGCTTTTTAAATTCTGCTTTGATTTCCAGTTGAACTTTTTAATTAAATCAATTCAAGAGATTCCAAAAACTTGCTCTTACAGCAAACAACTTAAAATTCAAGTTTCTACAGATTGGGAAACGAGCTCATACAATTCCAGTTAGATTTGATCTGCGAACATTACTTTGTTTTTTTTAAAGGAGGTGGAAAACAGCGAAGACTTGGGGAGAGTAAAGGCATACAAAAGAGTCTGTAGCGTTTGAAAGACGTTTGGCAAATGAAAAGATAAATTCATCAGCATAAGATACACCCCTTCCAAAGTTGATATGCACTGTGTAGAAAGGGTTCACAGCAGCAAGCGGCCACCTGGAGAAAAAGCGCAGCACCCAGCGTCTTCTTTTTCCGAGCGCTCTGCCTTTTGATTGCTCAAGTTGAAAATCTTTCAGCTTTTCAGAAAGGCGCTGTTGACGTCACTGACACTCCTTCCCCAAGGTATGATATTCCCCTCATTCTTGCCGCCTACGGATCATGTCTTGTACCCACATCCTCCTCGCACCGTGTCTGATCAGGAAATAAACGATCTCAAATATAAAACAACACAGAGCACTGTCGGTCATACAGCGGCCATTGTGAGCGTACAGACAGCGCTTTTCCGCCCAGAAAAAACGCCAGGTGGACACGGCGTCTAACTTGGTCGAGTAGAGGATCAGTAGCTGTTAGCTAGCAGTAGCTGTTAGCTAGCAGTAGACTCTTGTTTCCAGTCTGCACATGTTTCCTACAATCCTGTTATTTTTGTGTTCAGGGCTAAAGTGCCTTTTGTTCAACAGGGCGGCATTCTGGCTTTTTTACTTATCCCAATGAAAGGGGTTAAAATTCAACATATTGCAATATCAGCAGGGAAACATATTGCACCCTTCATACCTCACAGTGTGCCTTTGTTCTTGGGTTAAAGCTTTGTTTCATGTGCTAACGTCTTCCTGTGTTCATGTTCGATGTTATGATGGAGCAGAAAAGTCAAATAGCTGACAAAAAATCAGAGCACTGCCCTCTAGCTGCGGGGAGTTTAAAGAGGGCATGTTTTTTTCTTACCCCCTCGTAATTAGAAAAAGTGACCAAAGCTGTCGTTTATGTGTTGATATGTGTCTATATAGTGACCTCAGGATGAACTCAAACAAATGTTAAAACTTCACAAAAATATTCACTCTTCGTTTGGCACGAGTGGCGGCAAGAGATTTGACCTGTAATTAACCAGTGTGAACCAGTGTGCATGTTTGGACTGGTTCCCAAGCCTTCCATTGTGCGTTTTCAATTTAGCATATTGTATTATTTTTCACAGCAGAAGAAGATAAAGTGACACAAAGCGACAGATGGCGATAGATGCAGAAAACGCTGAACGATCACGACATTCAGCCTTTTGTAAACACTCGTTTTCTATTAAGGCTTGAAATATTTTGTTGATAATCAAAGGAAACAGCTGATCCCTCAAAATGTATTTGATTAAAAATGAGGGAATAAAAATGACAAATATTCCAATAAACAGCAATAAAAAGGTGATGTTGGGTTAAGTCATGACAGAATACAGCTACACTCCATATGCTAATGACTCGAGCCTGATTTATACTTCTGTGTCCAATCTACGCCCTAGGATCCTGTGATTGGTCTACATTCTCCTCTCCCAGTTTACACCACATGTAAAACATCAGGATACAGAATCTAACTATGATGAGAAGATAAATACATGTTCTTTGAATCATGCAACCTCTGTGTGTTTAATGTAGGCTAACAAGTAGCCCGAGCTAACGATGCTATCATGTTGTGCATTCACCTCCTCTGATGTTTCCTCTCTCTTCTAAGTGTACTCAACATTTATCATCTCCAGCGCCAACATAATACACTCCCTTTCAGTCGCCATGGTTTCCTGCACACAACCAAGCAGAGAATTTGGCGATAGTGATGTGTCGGCCATGGACGATTCGTTCAAAACGAACGAATCATCTGGGTGAACGAACTGAACTGAATCACTGACTGAAAAGAGTCGTTCATTTCTCTCTGACGTGAATCACTGAACGAACTGAACGACAGCTCCGACGTGAATCACTGAACGACCTGAGAGGAAGAGCAGAGCTCTCGTTCAGTGAACAAACTGAACGAGAGCTCCGCCTCCGAGTCACTCTCTTCCTCTCAGTCAGTCAGTCAGTGAGTGATTTGTGTACTGAACATACTGAACAGAACGGTCGGGGAAAATACATGTGATTGTTTTAGCAGCTTTCAGTTTGCAAACTGTAGCTTTATGCAACTAAATTCTCAGCTCATTGGTTTATTATTCACCACCGGCTGTTCTCAGTACGATCACGAGCAGAACTAAACGTTCGGCCGTGTTTCAGTTTATTAAATTCTGATTCACAGACAGAGCTGCAGAGAAGTACTGAACGATTCGGTGAACGAATCTTTTGAACGAATGACTTTGCTGAACTGATTCTACTGATTCAGTACACTGAAAAGAACTGCTTTTCACATCACTATTTGGCGATATAACTAGCATAGAAACGCCAATGCTAACTAGCATTTGTCGCCGGAGTATTGCAGAGAGTATGCAGACACACCAACGTACACAATGTAGTGCTCACAACGGCACGGATTGGTAGAGGCAGAGAACTATAAACCAGGCTTTAAGATGGACAAACAGAAGAAGATTTCCTGTTTTCTTTGTGAAATGTGTCTGAGGTTACGAGAGTGTGTTTTCTCCCTGCTATGACACTCAAAGGCAACAAAGACAAAGCTAAAGGAATGTTCCTCGTTTACTCCACCGTCCTTTGAGAAATAATTAAACCAAGGCCCCAACGTATTCAGTTCAATCCATTAAAAGATGAAGTCTTTGTGATGAGATTCCATTAAATCACCTGAAAGATTGAAACAGGGCTGTCCCCTCGCGATGGATCAGCTCGTATTGGTAAGGCTTTGTACTCCGACAACAAAAACATCTCAAAATGTAAAAATACTCTGATATAGCAAATCTTCCCTCAAAAAAAAAAAAAAAAAGATTTGAGTGAAACAAAAATATACATGAAGCTTATTCCACCTGTGAGGGTGTCGAGTCAAGTAACAGATTTCTGTTTCAGTTTTTACAGTCTTTTTTTCCCTCACCACCCAATAAATTATCACAGTACCATGAACGTACGTCAGGCGCACTTATTCCAACATAAACACACATATGTCCTGCACAGACTCCTTTCAAAGGTGTTTGGACTTTCACCTCCTCTGTCCTTCGTCACAAGCACATACACGATCACAGCAACCCCCCCTCCCCCCCTTTCCCCCCATCGCTCTCTCTCTCCGCTTAGCGTCAGTCTGTCAGAGCGGGGTCACAGGAGTCAGTTTGCAGAGCGTCCTGTCCTGCTGCTTCGGGGAAAGCGATGGACTTTGAGGTGTTTCGACAGGTGATCGCTGCGGGCAAACTTCTTCTCGCAGACGATGCACTGGTATGGTTTCACTCCGGAGTGGGAACGCCGGTGTCGGGATAGCTCGTCGGACCGGGAGAACCTGCCGGAAGAAAAACCCTGATTAGATTTATCAAACTTTTCTTCACATGTAGCTCTACATTTCAAGTGTCATTCCCAAAATTGTTGGTGTTTAATTCCCAAATCACAGCCATCAAAGTCCTGAAATCACACAAAGAAGAAATGGACAAAGACTCTATAATTTTTGAAATACTTCCACTTCTGTGCACTAACTAAACTTTCTGTTTATATGCAACACTTCCAATATCAAAATAACTAAATAACAGACGAGCCATGCCAAGCTGTTTTATATGAGGGTAATCTGAGAGGTGTGATGTACATGTATATTGCCCTGTGTCTCCTCTGTGAAGTTAAAGAGCCGTCCCAAATTTAGCTCAGCACACGAGGAGTGAAAATCCAAGCTCGGTCTATTCCTGGTTTGGTCTCTATGGGCTGCAACCAGCTTGGATACCAGGACAGCAAAGGGTTAAGAGACTGATAGAGTTGTGTGTGGGGGTGTGTGTGTGTGCGGGGCGGTGTATCTGTATATATTAGTAAGGCTGTAAAATTCAAATTAATCTGTAACACAGATTGATTTCCAGTAGCTTGCAGCAGTGGCACACTCAAAGTATGAAGGCGATAATTCACAATGATGTAAAAACGTCACTCACAGTTATTTCAAACCATTTCCACTCTACAAGTGGATGACACAACAGGGCCTCATTCATCATTTTAATGGGCCAATAATAAAGAGAAGATAACTGACGGAGCTTATAAAGTTAAGCCGTGGAATATGAAGAGCCAAGGACCTGAAAACAAACACGACCTCTGGAAGAATCATCGGGTTGTCTTGTTTATCGCTGAGATCATTTTTAACCTGCAGTGAAGAGGGACTTAGCCTGATGTAAGACAGTCAGTGAATGTCTGCTGGTGCCAGAGAAAAGGTTGATCATGTTCGACCTAATTAATACGTCAAGAACATTAAGTTGATTCATTCTGCACCATGTCTCATGGCAATCCATGCCGTGGTTTTTGTCACTCTTTACTCCAAAAAACACACCTGAAAAAATATGAGGGCAGCACTCAGACACTCTAGGTGTGCTGGCATTTACTGATTCCTGGTTTACAGTACAGCTGAGATGAGTTAGTAAGTTCACTACCAATTCTAAGACTTGCAGAGAAGTGAATGTCCAATGCTCAACAAAAAGCTGACAGAAACATTCACTCTACATTCAAATACCCTTGGCAGATGCTGCTTTGTGAAGTGCACATCAGTATCTACTCATTCCAATATGCCATGAGGAGTAATGTCAGCTTCACTGTCTTTCCCCGAGGACGCTCCTACATATGACCTGCTGGAGCAGAGGATCGAAACCGTGAACCTTCTAGACATGAGACACACAACTCTACCACTGAGCCACAGCCGCCCCAAACTGGTGTCAAAGTGCAAAGACTTGGAGAAACACAATGCACCAATGCAACCTTTTATAAATTTGCTCGAATTGTTTCCTGCTTTCCATTTGTTTAATTGGTTCTGCAAATCAACTGAATGACAAAAACTGTTTGTAAAGATCTTATACCTGACAGTTTGTTTACTTGAGCTAAATTTAAATATACTGTATGTAAAGCTCTGGAAATAAAACAGTGCACATACACAGTAAGATCATGCACATTTGGGGAAGTGGAATAAGTCTTAGTTACTCGTGCTTTTGACTCTATTTTAGTCTCCACCTGCAAAAAAAAAAAAAAAAAAACTTTAAAACTGCTCATTGCTCCGCCCCGTACATCAGCTAGCTTTAAACATTGTCTGCTGAGAAGCTAGCCTACTGCAGTGGTGTCCAATCTTTTTTCCTTGGAGTCCCCCCAACTCCCACAGTATCCCAGAAAGGCTGAGACCCTTCAGGACCCACCTTATAAAAGTAATACAATGCTGCCAAACAGTAACATCAATTGTAATTGTTTTCTGAAACACAATCCTGACATAATAGACGCACACAGTCCAGTATCCAGAAAGTGTTTTATCGTTATTTAAGTCAATATGCTCAAACTAATCTTGACAGCCGCAGAGCAGACAGAGCCATGCATGCTCCACCCCCCCGAGATTTTTGGCCCCAGACCCAAAGTAGGTAACCAATAGCCAACAGACCAACAAGGTTCCTGCAGCTTGAAACAATGTCGCAAAAGTTGCAGTCTGAAAAAAATAATCACACTAAAATTCTCCCTGCAGGTTTGTAACTTCACACGACCCTCTTTATAAAACATCTTCATTTAATCGATTCTTGAATAGGAAAATAGATCAGTGCACATTTAACATAAAAAATATTCCCTCTTGAGCAGGAATCGAAGGACTTGAGGCCAAAATGAGTGTTGTCTTTGTCTGCTGCATTAAAGAGCTTGGGCAGGTTTTCCATCTAGAATGCCAAAGTACATAATGAGATAAAAATCAGAAGCCATTAGTCTCTGCATGTTCTGTACTTTATGTGCCTGTACATTGGTTGCTTGTTGCTGGTAATCTGTGTTTGGTACACATGCACACAGTACACCCTGAAGCCGTGCTAACGTAGCTTCAAGTTGGGACGTGAGAGAAAACCATGTACAGCTCGAACTGGGCCAAATATAACAAACCGCACCAGGAGGGATCTTTTAGCAGTACAATGCATTAAAGACTAGACAGCGTGATTGTTCTTTAAATCGACTTTTTCTTGGAAGACTGATCACGTGCCATTTCTCTTTTTCACAGCCTCTCCATATCTGTCTCAAACTCATGCCCCCTCTTGTTCTCTATCGCTTCCTCTTGTACATTTTTCTCTCTCGGGTCACCGAGTTCATAACTCCAAGGGTGGAGGGCACTTCTGTTAATCAATTTAGAGTGGTTTTTAACTTGAGGAGTGTGTTTTTTTTTTGAGCCTCAAATCCCCAGGGCGGCTTGGCGCGGCTTCAGCTCCACACATAGTATACATATCAGTGTGAATGCTGTGGGAAACACATACACAGGCTTTGTTCTAGCTTGTCTCTGAACTCTGTTCTGCAGCCAACAGGGTATAGTGAAAACAGGCGAGGAAGGTGGGGCAGTCAGGTTGGTTGCACACCTGGAAAATTACAGTATCAGAGATATTGGCAAGGACTCGTACTGTAAGGCGTTTTATCTGTCATCTTTGTTTTTGTTTTGTTTGTCATGTCAGCTCAAAGCCCTCTGCGTCTCCCTTCACTGTGTTTATGAGCTGCTCAGTTTCAACAACTCTGAGATGAAAGGATTATCACATTGATGCATGACCGCACTATAATCAGTGACAGGGCTTACATGCAAAGCTACATGGAACCGCCAATAAAAGCTTCTTTTGACTGGTTTAAGATTTTCTCTTCAAGCAGGAAGAGCTGGATTTAATTCCTGAATTTGTTGTTTGACAAGACATTGAATCCTTTTCTGGCTGCACGGAGGCATTTTTATGGATGACTGCAAACTTGCTGACCTCTCTGCAGAGGCCAAAGGAAACGAAGAAGGCAAGTCCCAAAGGAGAACGGATAACACAGCAAATGGTGAAGGGTGACTCAGCAAAAAATATGTGCAGAATCATTTTGTTCTACACCGATCAAAAAGTGGGTAATACGCTCAAATTCTTCAAAATTATTTTTTAGGTATCTGTACTTTACTTGACTGACAAAGTCCTTAAACAATAACATCTGTATTTTCTAGCCCTTGCAGTCTGCAGGGGGCACTAAGTGGCAGGATCTGCAAATCACACAAAAGTTCCAGAAACCAAGAATTTCACAAGACGGCTTCAAGCCTCTGAGTAGGCGAAACCCTCTCACATAAACTCTCTTCTCCCAGCGCTGGAGAGCTGCCCTCTCCTGGCAGCCCTGCAGCGTTCTGCCCTTCAGAAGGCTTACAGAGAGCTGGCCAATCAGAAGTAAGTGGGCACGTAGGGATGGGGGGGGGCCTTAAAGAGACAGTAACTGAAATGAAGCGTTTCAGGCAGAGGCTGAAATGAGGGTTTTTACTGACGTCAGCATCAGATAAATAAGGAGATTATTGAGCTACAAATCATGCTATAAAAACCTAATGTGTTTAGATGATATAACAACCTGAGTCTAACAAGTGACAGAGTAAGTAAGTGAATCATAAAAGGCTTGAATGTCCAATGTGGAAACCAAACACTTCAGACTGGAAGGTCTTTCCATATCAAGTAACACAGATTGTAAAGTTATTTTCCTACATAATTTCTTCATTAAAGTTGTTCTGTGCCCATCCCTTATAACGTAGTTGATTGATCGTAGGTAAGCACTCTCTCCTAGCCTGTCAGTAGAGCTGAATCTACCTTCCACAGCTCTGTCATCACCCGACAACATAGCTTTGTCATAACGATGAATGCATCAGCTGACAAGGACAACAAGCCGCTGTCCCGGTGACAGATGTCGAGTGCACACACGTCACAGTGTTATTACAGCAAACTGTTTGGGTTTGAGCCCAGCCATCAAACACTCAGAGTCACCATGCAGGTCTGAGCTAAAAAAAACACTTCATGCCCATGTGTGTTTGTGTGTGTGTGTGTGTGTGTGTGTGAGGGTGTGTGTTCTGCCTGCATGTGTACCTTTAAGTGTCTACATGTGACTTTGTGTGTGTGTGTGTACATTGAGATCTGTACATGATCGTAAACATAAACTACAGCCAGGGAGAGGGAGAGTGATGAAAGTCACAAAAGCTTTAAAGAAAAAAAAAAGAGTTTGGCAAAGGAAGAGATATGACTTTCACTGAGTTATATGTAGGAGTTGAGCCGCTGAAATACCACGAGTCTCTAACTTCATAGGAGGCCAACACATGCGTCTGCTCTAAGGTTACAGAGGGTAAGAGATGCCTGACTCGCAGATCAACTCCATTTCCTGGCTCAGAGGGAGAGGAGCAGGGAAAGGGCAACTGTATGCTACAGTATACTACTGCTGTCATATAAAGACTGAAGAGGGGTATGTTAGGGACGACAGGGGGGGATCGTCTTATTAGTTCTGTTAAAGACATGAATGGTTCTTAATGTATGAAAGACTATAAGAGCCATACATAGGAAGAGAAAGGGAAGTGTTTTTCTTTATTTTGCATCTTGAGATTGGAGTCATTATCTCTAGGATAAAATTAAAACGCAGCAAAAAAAGGTTGAAAGGAAAGTTGCCAGACATGAAACAGGAGGATTCTTTTCATTTTGCATTTTAAATATTAAGCTGAAAAGTCAAAAAAAGAAGTCTTCCTCTACTGCGGGTATCAAGGATCACTGCTCAGAACTGATGATACTCTGCTCTGGTTATTTAGCACGAGCTGGAACGACTCACCTAGCAGGGCGCTCCACGCACACAGATATCGTAGAAACATAGTTTGCGGACATATTTCTTGTATATTACTATTATTCATTAAACGTACCATTATCATCAGCTTGATGCCATAACACATATTCTGACAGAAATAGGCAAATCCTTTGCACACGATGCATCCTTATCTAATGTGTGGAAACAATATGGAAAGTCAAACAGCTTAAAAACATGCAAAACCTCCAGAATGATAACTCAATATTACATAATGACCCTGTAGGCCAAGTACTTGAATGTATTGCCAAACATAAATCCAATAAAGTCAGCTCACAGCGAGGAGGCCGACAAATCATGGGCCTAATATGTCCGATCAGTTGGGTCAAAATTTTGATTTTTTTGCGCACATGCACATATACACTTTACATTCTGTGCAAAATATGAATGCTCATTCAAACCAAGGCTCAGAACTAGTGATCAGTGCACAACAGACTGCAATTTTCCAAAGTGTGCAAACCTTCTTTTTCATCTCCAACTAAAAAACTTCTTCTGTGATTTTGGTTTTAGTGATTTTTGATGCCTCTGTAAAACACATTAAGGTCTGTTGTGTCTGAAAGCTACAACATAAATAAACTCGCCTTGTCCGGTCAAAGCCTTAAACAAATCCTGCCTCACCTTTAGACTCAAATCATTACCACAATTTAACCTTCAACATTTTGCTTAACACTCTTTTAACTCAACCCTGGCTTCATCCATGTGTGTAAATACACACACACACACACACACACACATGCAAGACTTTATGTGCACTGTTGAGCAATAACTGTATGTACAAGGATGGAATCAATTGGCCAACAGGTCAAAAGCTGCCACTTGAACGAGGACAGTCGAAGAGGGATGGAAGCTGTGATTAAAACAGCAGGAGAAAAAATGTTCTAAGACACGTCTGCAGCCAAGACGATTCTTTATAAATATGTCATGGATTGAAGATTAATTCTGCATATCCCCTCAGGCTTGTGTGAAGTGAAAACTTTGAACTTGATTGGATCCAGTGTATCTGTTCTGCATTAACTGTTGCAGGCTGTGAGCAAACAAGTGGAGTAACTAGCAGGGGGGCAAAGTCTGCAGAAAACTTCAAACGCTCCTCTATCTAATCTACAACTCCACCGCGGTACAAAAACACACAGATTGTCTGGGGGGGGGTACACGGCCAGCATGCAGAACAGGACAAATTAGATCATTCTTGAACAGGCTTGACTGAAGTTCGATGTGCACCAAAGCTGAGCCTTCTGGATCCTCTCATTGTCGTTTTAACATGTTCCCATTTCACCTCCCTCCGTCCTCACAAAAAAACATTCTGCAAGATTTAAAAAAAAACCTTCCAGCAGGTCTTAGCCCTCAGAACTCTGAAATTAAACACACAAACAATAAAAGCGGTCCGTCATATTGCACTTGATGGTGTCCCAAGTATTTCCTTATCGGTAACAACCTGACAATAAAGAACAACTCTGCACAGCTCGTCAAAGTCGCACATTTATCAACAGTGTCGATATATCAGACCATAGCGGAAGTTTATATCCCTGATAACTGTAATCTTTTAGAGTGCAGATAAACATATAATACTTCACCTTGCAAGTGTGTTTAGCTGCACCGTCAACAAATTCATTCATCTCCATTCACTCACTCATCCAACCTTTGGTTGGTCTATGGTGCAATGTATACAAAGCTGCTTTCACAAATGAATCTCCAGACAATGATGTGGTCCAGACTTGTCTTTTCACACATGTGGCACACAATGATTTATTGCCTATGTAGAAAATATTTCTACAGCAGCGAGGGTCGGCCCTGGGTAAGAGGATATAAAACGAGGACTGCTTTTGCATTGATTTTACTACAACATGCAATAATACAACCCCAAGAGTGGTAAACACAAACCAGGCAACAGAGGCATGAACAAAAGAATGGCGTCATCAACACGTCCGCTCTCTAAACGGTAATCCCCTGCTGTGTTCACACATTGGCTCTTTTAAATGAACTTGATAGTGGGAGGCTGGCAGGCACAGTCTGTTAAATGTCCTTGTTAAATGCAGCCCAGTTGTAAACACTTTTTGGCGTGCGAAGCGCCTTCTTTTAGCAAATGCATCTATATTAACCATCTCATCTTATACACAAACTCGTTGTTTTGCTCACCTCCATCCACAGCCAGGCCATGTGCAGGCGAAGGGTTTCTCTCCAGTGTGCCTCCTCAGGTGGGCTTTGAGGTGGCTGCTCTTGGTGTACATTTTATTGCAGCCGGGAAAAGAGCACTTGTGCATTTTAATAAGGTCTGCCACTGCGCTCTTTTGGTACCTCTGACCTCCTGCGAGGACCCCTGAAGAGGAAACCCCGTTCAACCCGCCTTCCCCAAGTCCAATCGGCTTGGCGGCGATGGGAACTGGAGCGATCCGCACAAATTTGGACGAACCGGTGATTCCAGTTTTGCCGGCGCTGGCAACATTTGTCGGGGAGAGCAGCTGAGGCACCAAGGCAAATGTTTGCCCCTGGATGTTGACCAGGAGCTGGGCGATTTTGATATCCGGCTGGGCCAGCGTTGGCTGGAATTCTGTATTCTGGGCAACAGAATCTGAAATAGCACTAGGGTTGGGTTCCTGTTTGATCTGTATTGGCTGGATTTGTAGGATGACAGGCACATTGGAAGCAGCACTGGTACCTTCTGAAGAGGCTGACATTGAACCACAGTCCTCCTGTTTGATCCCATCAACTCCATTACTTGTGGAGCTAGCGCTAGCTGTACAACTAACATCCAATGTTAAGGGTGAGCTGTCCATGTCGGATGCACTTGGTGTATGTTTGGTCTCTGTGAAGGAGGAAAGAGGAGAATGAGCCACAGGCACAGTCTGATCTGAGTTCTGAGGCACCGATATGAAATCTCCAGAACTATCTGCCTCAGCATCCTCAGATGTTTGCGACATCGCCTCATCACTCCCCTCCTCGTCTTTCTCCATCGCCACAACCATGTTCTCCTCCAGGAACTCCTCGATCTCCTCCAGGGTTGGCTGGAACAGAAGTGCTGCAGGGTCCTGAAGCTCATCCAGGAACACAGGGAACTCGTAACAGTCCTCCTTGGACTGCTGCTGAAGGAGACTCAGCCGCTGCTCCCTCTTTGAGTCCCACGCCAGCCCCATCGGTAGAAGAGGGGCAGATGAGGAGGACGACGAGGTTGCGGAGGATAGGGACAGAGAGGAAGAAGAATAGGAGTTGTTGCTGAGGGACGCCTGCGAGAGAAGGAGGTCAAGCAGACTGTCCTGACTCTCTCCTCCCGAGGAACTGCTGCTTTCACTGCTCCTGCTGCTCCTGCTTTCATAGCTGGAGCTGAGAGCATGGTGTAATGTCGGCGACGATGACTCGGGGCTGGAGCAGAGGGACGACCGAGGGCTGGAGGAGTCGCTAAGATCGTCCTCAGAGAGGCGAGGGGAAGAGGACAGCATCAGCCCTTCATAGGGATTGTGGTGGTGGTGGTGGTGGTGGTGGTGGTGGTAGATGCCCGCGTCAGTCACCATGATTCCCGGCGACACACCACCATTGGTGTGGCGACAGAGGGAGTTGTAGTCGGACCCTGGTGAGTGGGCATAACACAGGAAGGTCTCCTCACCAAGTGACAAGTGATCCACCATTCCTGTGCGGATGAGTGGACGCTGGGCTCTGAAGATCAAGTTGTTCTGCTGGAGACGGGCAGAGTGTGAATGAAGAAATTCTATCTGCAAAAGAAAAATGAGAAAAGGAAATGAGTGTTTTTACACATATCCAAATGCTAACTTAAGATACAATTTCCATTAATCTAACTTCCAAAAAATGTCACCTTGGGGTGATCAACCACAGCACGACAACACAGTACAATTCTCTGTGGTCAGTCGGACTTGGAGTTAATGTTTTACAACAGATACCACAGGTTTACCCTTTGCAAAAATAAGTCAACCAACAAGTGGTGTTAAAAAAATGACTCTTATGATTTGGTCTCATTGCTGCCTGTTTAAGAGATCTGCAGGCAGATGATGGCGCTTCAGAAGGAAAGTTATCCACGTGTGAAGTCAGTGGAATTTCAAGACTGTGTGTGTGTGTGTGTGTGTGTGTGTGTGTGGGTGTGTGCATGTGAGTGTGTGTAGACGCTGCTGCAGCTGCCGGTTCAGACTTCAAGCTGACCATGTGGAATCAGGGTTCCCATTTCTCACCATGTCTATCATCAAAGCCACTTGTCTGCTTCTGCCGTCATTTAATGAGTTTCTGTTTATTTCCCTGAAGTGGTCTTATCTCAGTCCTCAGAAATCTCGGAAATCTCAGTCCATCTGCTTAAACAATTGCAATGCATTATGACTTATATAGAGATACACTGTTAGAAATGTGAATCCTGCACCCTACCAGGATGCACAGATACTAATGGCAGTGGATACGATAACAGGGATTTTTCATCACATAAGATCAGCAGATTTCAATGTGATGATGAGTACAGGATAAAGTATCTATTTTCATAAACTGCAAACAAAAAAAAGCATGTCTTAATTTAACTGGATTAGAAGATGTGAGTCATCATCAAACAGCCTGAAAAGCTCTAAACTCAGTGATTTATGATGCATAAACATGCTGATAAACCTCCATTGGGATCCATAGAGGGCTTCAAAAAGAGAGTGAAAACCAAATGATTGTGCGCCCTCTTTCTGTGAAGATAAAAAGCTGCTGTTTTGAGCCAGGTCCACGCAGAGATATGAGGTGATTACAGGGGGAAATCAACAGATTAAATGTCGTTAACACTTTGTTGACATTTTTGCGTTAGGCTTACAAAATAACAGGAATGGCTGCTATGCAGTTATGTAATTTCGGACCCAACGCCAAAGATTCAACCCAGATTGGATTCCTGATGTGACATCATCACATGACATGGAGTCACTAGGGGGTCTGCAGCTGCGGTAACCCAGGCGATAGATACCTCATGGAAAAGTTAGGGGAGACAGTTTAGGAACGTCCTGGCCAATTCTCAAGTCATTTGCCCCAGGGTAACCCCCTCCGCAATAAAACATCAAAAGGCTATATGACAGCGTGGTGCGGTGCGCTCCTGGTGTGCCACATGCTGCATTAATGATCGAAAATCCGTTCATTTGAGTTGTTTTCCGACATGTGTTGGCTGTGAAAGCTGATCCGATGACAGACACATATGGCATTTTCAAAGCGATTTATTATCAAATCAAAAGAGCCGCACATGTCAAGCGTGTTTGTAAGACATTTAAATGGCTCTTTATTGGGAGAGCAGCTGCAAAATGCACAGTGTCGCTAAAAACTCGCATAAGCATCCTGACACGGACTCCAAACGTCTCTCCATTTACTCAGCAGAGCCACGCTTCCTATTGCACTCCACTCGGACAAACAGAAAACACACGGGTACAAATAAACACTTTCCAGTCCGTAATCAAATCCCTGCTCCTTGTGCACTCACCTGTACTTGGTGAAGAATCCAAAATTCCGCTCGGCTGCGCTGAGCGCTCTTTTCTTAAAAGTAGCTGTCAGTGCGTAATAGTGCGTAATGGCAATGTACCTCCACGACAAGGTTCTTGCATAGTTGTACGCCTCCAAACACACTCTATCTCTCTCTCTCTCTCTCTCTCTCTTCCACACACACATCCACACACACATACACACACACTATCACTCACTCTCTCTCCAGAGGGCTGAAGGCTCGCTTAACCCGTCACATGATCAGAGCCCGGTTTGTTATAGCAGGCAAATTAGGGGGGTTGGCTCATGAAGGCTCGCCTGCTCGGCGCGCAGCAATTGGCTCTCGTTACAAAGAGGCCGGCCTCAGGGTCTGGCGTCAGTGGAGATGTGTGTGTGTGTGTGTGTGTGTGTGTGTGTGTGTGTGTGTGTGTGTGTGTGTGTGCGTGCTTGCGTGCGTGCGTGCGTGCGTGCGTGTGTGCGTGCGTGTGTGTGTGTGTGTGTGTGTGTGTGTGTGTGTGTGTGTGTGTGTGTGTGTGTGTGTGTGTGTGTGTGCGTGCTTGCGTGCGTGCGTGCGTGCGTGCGTGTGTGTGTGTGTGTGTGTGTGTGTGTGTGTGTGTGTGTGTGTGTGTCATATACCATGCAGGATATGACAGTGTGTTTTGATGTCTATCTATCAACCTGTTTTTTTCCACTTGTTTAATATAACCTTTAGAGCTTCTGTTCTGTTTGTTTGTGTCACATGTTTGTTTGACTCATTGCTTCATAATATTGAATCTTTACAGTATGGACGGTGCTTAAAAACGTGTGAAAATGTATACTGTGAGTTTACAGACTAATCACTTTGAAATCTGACTTTTAAATTAAGACATTTTACTTTGTTTTCACTCAACCTTAAAATCTTTTGGGCTTAATTTTTGCCTCTATTTCACTGTAGTCTCACAACTCTGACTGTAAAGTCGTTGTTATGACTTAACGGTGTAGTTGGGATTTAGATTTAAATTAAAAAATGTATCTTTAACTAAGATTTATTTTTTGGCTTTTTGAGCCTTTACTAGAGAGACAGGACAGTGGATAGTGCCGGGACATTACGGACAGAGAGAGTGGGGAATAACATGTGAGAAAGGAGCCACGGGTAGGATTTGAACCCAGGCTGTCTGCTTTAAAGGCTACAGCCTTTGTACACATGACACGCGAACTAACCACTTGACCACCGCCACCTAGAGATAGAACTCTGAGCTGAAAGATTTGACCCTGATCATCAATTTATTGCCACTTTCATTAAATAATATACTCTCAGCATTCATGGGGGCAAAATGCGGTTCTCCTCATATCATGCTCATTTAAATACAGAGCTACATACATGAAAAAATAGAGAACAAAATGCATGACAGAAACAGGACTCTAGACGGTTCAAAACAGGACACGACAGACTTGAAATATCTGCACATTTAAATGGACCTGTTTGCATTCTCGTTTAGCGACTGACATCCTGCAACAGGATAAAATGCCCCTGAAAGACAAAAATCTTTGTGCATTTTTAGCATGTTGTGTTTTTCTTAGTCCTCTCATGCTGCTTAGAAAGCACACTGAGCTTTTTTTTTTTCTTTTTACAGCTGACGCCGGCTGAAAGGGTGGGGAGTGACGGAGTGAATGAGGGGGCCATTGAGTAGGTAAGTAAGTGTGTTTACAGGCTTCCTAAAAACATCAGCAACAGAAGTTTCGCTTTCACTGCTGCTGAAAAGACCTCGTATTAAACAACCACACTGGGCTGAAGTAACTTCACCAGCTCCGACTTAATTTGATTTTCATGCGTAGGTTAGACTAGCTCTCAGAGGGGTTTGGATAAATGATCCACTCACAGTCTGCTTGTAAACATGACAAGTGTTTCATGATGTACTTTACAGTAAAGAGAGCTGTCATGTTGAGTGATATGAAACACTATATTTTATCAAAGATGTTTGTTTTACAGAGGACTACAGACATATTATCCTGCTAACAGTGATACTGCTAATGCTCATTGACCAAAGTGTCAGCCTCATCTTATACTGACCTGAAGTCTGACCGGGTCCTGAAGGTTTTTTTGGAAACAGGGCGGAGCTAGCTCACAACTTCCAGTCAACACTTCACTGATTACATCTCTTCTCGTATCTCTAATCAGCTTGTTAGAAACATTAGCATAAGTCCCGGTACCTCGTTAGGCTGGGAGGAGTGTTATCTGTATGAGCCATTTTAAAGGGGACATATGAAAAATCCACTCTTGTTTCCACATCCACAGTGTTTTTGAACATATATTTGGGTAACCTGAGTGTCTAATGACCCACAAAATGTGAAATAAACCCATCCAGTCCTTTGTTTGTGGTCTGCATAAGTCTTACAACACAGAGAAAAATGCTCTGTTTCAAATTTTCTCTCCTTGTGATGTCACAATGGGATTCTTGTAAAAATAAAAATCCCCTCCCCTCCCCTGGTATCTCCACCCATGGACTTCACCCCCAGACTAGAACAAAACTTTTGAGCAGTTCCGCCATTTTTATTCGCGCTAGCAAAGGAGTGATGTCTACTGGGAAAACTCAGGGGGGGGGGGGGGCTCATTGCATTTAAAGAGACACACACACACCAAAACGGAGCGTTCTGAGAGAGCTGGTTTATACAGGGTCACAAACCTCCTCTGGTGCTTGATTCATGTTATATTTTGACCAAAGCACAGCTCAGATGTTTCATTTAGACCACAGGGGGGACTGTTTGAAAAGGTGGGAAAGGGGGGACAACATGTCCTCTTTAAGTCCCTAAGCGTTATTTGATGATTTATTTGAGTAGATTTAATGCTCACACTGATTTTTTGTCACCTTCACATGGACTACAGGTGTAAGTTAGTATACCTGTGCAGATCCTGATGTCGTGTCTGCATCAGATAAACAAAGAAAATGACATAAATACATTTTCAAAAACACATATTTGTTGTTTATTTCTGCAGGGAAAGACACACTTAAGACATCATTGCACCAGAGTTTACCAGCAGGTAATTTACAAGTGTTAGTCCTGGGCAGATAGACAAAAAAAAAATCCACCACTTAAAAGCAAAAAAACACAACATAAAACCGCACAATAAATACAAGTCCAACTTCGCAGACTCACTAAACAGAGCCGTGTGGAGTCCATCAAGGTCCTTTTTTCGGTTCCACTTACTAATTGGTTTCGGCTGCTCTATTCAAACTCACAAACATCAAACACCTACAAACGCATATGACGTCAACACCCAGATGGACCCGATGAATAAAAATGGATCTATTTCCTTCGGTAATGTGTGTGATGTGCCAACAGTGAATTGGGGGAAAATGTTGTGCTTGTTGGGTGAGCTTCTCAAGGTTGTAACAACTACTGCCGTTACCCTTTTTTTAAAAAAAAGCAGGCACCCTCAGTAAGAAGCACCAGAGGTCGGGTGGGGGGTGGGTTGGCCATTTTGGACATGCTGGTTATCAAACACAAAAACAAACATAATGTGAAAAGTTGCAGTTGTGATCCCTGCATGGGGCTTCTCGCTCACACACAGCGTTGTTTACCACGTCTATTTGTAACCTTGAGTCTACAGTGGTCAGCCTTTAACCGGCTTCAGCCTCCCGAGCTGACCCCAGACCCCTGGAGCTCTTAACCCCCCCCCCCCCCCGCCATGGAAACAGGAAGCTGCAGCACCTCACCGGGTGATTGGAGCAAGTGTGTGCATCAATTTACAGCGTTGTGTCACTGCTCTGACAATTTCCCCTCATCTGATATGATACTTGACAGCTAATAAAACTTACGCAACAGATTTTTTTGCGAGCTGATGGTTGTGAAATGATCAGATATTATTGCGATAATGACCTCGTTTTGTTCTGTTTTTTTTTTTTTTTCTCGCCTCTTAGATGCTGAAATCGTGTTCCCAAGAAAATTACGTCAGTGGGGGATTTCATTTGTTTTGCAGGATCCTTCACCCTTTGCCTAAAGATGTTGTTTCTCTCAGACTATTTTCTTTTTTTTTTTTCCAGATAATCTCCAGAGACGCTGAAGGCACCAACAGTGAAGTAAAATGCTTTTTGAAAGCCCAAGCTTGTTTGGAACAAGTATTCCCTTCAGAGAATTGCACAATGAGTTCTTAATAAGCAGAACTTCAACCCGTCCAACCCACCAGCCAACCACTACCACAACCGCTGACACCAACACAAACACTCGCACAGACACCCCCCTGAGTTTAATGCTCTTCTTAGACAGCTTAGTTGGCTTTTAGTTACACTGGCAAGTCTCATCCTATTTGATGGATTAAGACGTCCTCGCCTTTTCCCTACATAGCTACTGACTTACATTTAAAGGTATGGAATCTCTCCCACCGAGCCGCGCTGCAGCTTTAAACCTTTGTAGACTCTGTGCAGTTAGCAAACAGACTGTGAATTTTGTTCTAACAGGATGATGTTTGTGCATGGATTAAAATTTGTCTAAATTAATCAGCACACTTTAAACTCCGGTCAGAGCATGTTAGGGTACATATCATTACAAGGAAGCAGATTCAGATTCTTCATTGTCCCACAAGGAGAATTTTTTTTTTTTTTGCAGCAGCAGGAGTACGCAAAGGCAAAAAGTCAGAAAGATGCAGCACTGACATACAAAATAATATCTATCTGTATTTCAGTGGAGGACACTCAGCCAACCTCTGGCTTCTCCTGTGGGATCCTTGCTTGTATCTACACAGGGAGGCCTCCAGGAGACATCCCCAAATAGATGCATGAACCAAAATGGGTTTTGATTTCTGACATAGGTAGAGGAGAGAAGACTGTCCATTCAGCAGGTGTGGATCTTTCAGGTTAAAATTACAACTGTTGGAAGCAGATTTACTTCATTTGTTCTTTTCAGTTTCTGTCTGTGAGTGTGTTAAAAATGGTTTTCATTAGTGCTTCCATGCTTTCACAAAAGTACTAAAAACCCCCTTTAGTTTTCGGGGTGAGTTGCATGTGTGAACGCAAACAGCAGGATTTTTTACTCAGACTTTATCCAGACTTTTTCCTGACACCCCCCTAGTATCCCACATTTGCTTTATGTCAAACTCTTTAATAACACCGTTAAATATTCCTGATGATGTCATGTTCTTATGTCTATATGCCGATGTTGGTTTTCCATGACATCTCCTCGTTTGAGCGGATTGTGTCATACACTGAGTGCAATGTGTGTGTTACAGTAATACAG